CAGTCTTCTAGCTTACCAGTAAGTTAACCTGGTCTGGGAGAGCAGGATACATCCTCCTAGGGGCTTTCAGACAACCCAGCACTGCACTCCCAGCTCATCATCTTCCTTCCCCTCGACAGGTCAACCTGTCCCCGGAAGACCTGCAGGCCCTGGGAAGTGCCATCAGTATGGTGACCCAGCACAGCAGCACCACCCTCACCATCCCCAGTCACGACGATAACCTTGCCACATCAGGCACACATACAGTCACCATGGTCAGCGCCGATGGCACCCAGACGCAGCCCGTATGACCAGGCGGTTTGCTTGGGGTTTCTTGTTCTGTTGTCCTTTCCATTGGGTATACATTAACGTGCGGGCTCAACTAGTCAAGCTTTCTTACGAGGACCAAGATTCCCCCACAAAAAGGGCATTCCCCCCAGTTCCTCTGGGCCATCAGCCACTCCTGTTGCGAGGCATTTCACTGGGGGTCAAGAGACAGTTTTGAAATCTCAGTCTACCCCTCATTTGTTTTGCTACCACAGGCAAGTCACTTTTTATGGATTTCGGTCCATTTTCAAATATGGGAATTATCTCTGGGGCCTTTTACAGCTCTGTCCTATGATCCAAAATGCCTAAATTAAGTTGGCTGTAAGTTAAAAACACATCATCACTGAACTCTGAACCCCAAGCTAATTAATATGATCCATAATGTTTTACCCATTCTCTTCTGGGTTGTTTCCAGCCATCTTGCTTGGAGGGATTTTGTTTGGATTGGGGAGAGGGAGAGTAATGTAGGTGAGTTGGAAAACCTTTTTCATCTATATTTAAGGTCACAATCATTACCTCTGGGGCTGTGGTGGCTGATGACTCAAGTGTAGCATCCCTCCATCATCAACAGGTGGCGCTATTGGCCACAGCCAATGGGACGCACATTGCTGTGCAGGTGAGTAGAGGTCTGGGAGGATCCCAGGGCCAGAGGAAGTAACTGAGAGAGGAGAGGAATTAGATGGAGATCTTGAAGAGAAGGGCATTTGGCTCAAAAAAAGCTCACTTCAGAGGATAAATCCCATTCTTACTACATCCACATACCTGTCTCAGGCTCACTCTTGACTTAGGCAGAGTGAGAAGCCCCTTTCAGCCTTCAGAATAACTTAAGTGGCAGTCTGCCTGGTGGTATAAGCCCTTCGTCTCTTCATACTTGTATTTCTTCAGGCTGAAGTAGATGATTACTAAGGTCCTCTCCAACCAGTCATTGCCTTCTCTGAGCAAGCCCGGCTCTCTGACCCTGGACCATTCTTTGGCTTCCTGGCCATACCTATCTTAATAGGACTGTTGTTTTGTTTTGTTTTGTTTCATTTAATATATCTTTACTGATTTCAGAGAGAGGGAGGGAGAGAGAGAAACATCAGTGATGAGAGAGAGTCATTGACAGGCTGCCTCCTACATGCCCCCTGCTGAGGATTGAGCCCACAACCTGGGCTTGTGCCCTGACTAGGAATGAAACCTCAATCTCCTGGATCGTAGGTTGATGCTCAGCCTCTGAGCCACGCTGGCCGGGCTAATAGGACTCTATTGGAGAACTTCCTGTGTATGGGGGCCTTACTAAGTGCTCAGTGGGTGGATAGAGGGGATTCAAAAGCTAGGCCATATACCACTACCCCTAGAATCTAGGAGAGGGGTCTCACTCTCCTCCTTTCTCCACCCTCTTCTCCACAGCTGGAGGAGCAGCAGACCTTAGAGGAGGCCATCAGCGTGGCCACGGCTGCCATGCAGCAAGGTGCCGTGACCTTGGAGACCACAGAGTCAGAGAGTGGCTGCTGAGTCCTAGAGGGCTGAGTCCCATACATGTTGGAGGAGGTGCCGTGCTGCATAGCCATCCCTGCCTCCAAAGGCCCAGGCTGTGGCTGACACGTGGAAGGTGGCCATGTAGCTCTCCAGCGCATGAAGGCAGCAGGAAAATGGCCTAACTGAAGGGGATGGAGGCCCTGCCCAAGAGAAGTGCTGGACAGCTGGAATCGGGGGAGTGTGTCATCCTCAGGAGCTAAGAAGGACAAGCTTGGTCATCAGGCTGCACTGGGGCGTCCTCCCCTCAAAATCAGCTGGGCACTCACTCCCTTCTCTCTGGAGAACACCCTGCCTCAGTCCACTCCCCTTCTCAAGTGGCAGTTGGAGCTACTGTGAGGATTGGTCATCCACTCCAACTGGTCACTGTCCACCAGGGGAGAGGGCAGACAGGTCTTCAGCCCAGGAGGGGCAGAACAATCCCAGCCCTGCCCTCCCAGCAATAAGCACCTCCCCAGAGGCCAGCCGAGATGCCTGGTCACTTGGCAGCAGGGTACTTCCTGCCACCACAGTCAGAATTGCTCAGGGGCCTGTGGCTGGAGAAAAGGTGCCCAGCCCTCCTACCCTACCCCCAGCTGCCCCTCAACCTCTGTGGTAGAGAGGCAAGGAACAGCCTTGTATATACTGGGGATTGGGTTTAATTTTTTTAAATTGCATTTTGATAATTTTTTTCCTGCTGTGAGCAGTGGTGGCAAACGGGTGAATGAGTATTTAATAAAAAGTTTCAAGTTTCTTCCTGGTTCCCTCCCTTTCTCCTTGCAGCTTTGGGCCCTGGTGGGAGGGCTGGTCAGATCAGGCGCTTAGCTCTGTCTCCTTGGCACACACTCCTCTGAGCCTTGGTGCTGGACAGATGAGACTGGCCTACCAGGGACGCAGGTGGGAGATAAGCCCTGAGGAACTGCCAGTGGCTTCCTGCCCACAGCTAATTGGGTGGGCTTCAGGGTGGCGGAGCAGGACCAGTGTGACCACTGCTTACAGGCTCTGGTTGGATCTCAGGATGGTTTTTCCCACCTTACCTTGTGTTACATAGTCAAAGCCCCACATTGGAGGGGATTGGGGTGCCTTTGCCCAGGTTACTGAGGGTCTCTGGTGCTGAAGTCCTGGCTCTGGTACCCAGCTCTGGGGGTGCCCACCTAGGTGTCTGGAGCCATGCTATGGAACTCCAAAGCCACAGTCAGACCCTACTGAAAACAGCCCCAATGGGAAAGAAGGGATGCAGGAGAAGGGACTTGATGGAAAGACTCTAGGTTTGACCCCTCCTGCCTGGGAATGTTGCAGGGATCGGAGGTGCCCCAAGCCCCTTCCTACCACCCAGGAACCCTCTCCCCTAGCCCAGGCGTCCTCTCCTGGGATGCCTAGCAAGCTCCCACTTACTCTCCTGTGCCTTGGAGGCAGAGGGGTCTCAGTGGCCTAAGAAGGCACCTTCAACATCCATGACCCCTGTTCCTGGCAGGAGGGTGTCCCACCCCTGATGAGCACTGGATCTAAAAAAAATCGCTGCTGTGGAGCCCTGAATCTCAAGTCTCTGCCACCCCACCCACACAGACAAGGCTCACCCCTGTGCTTCGGAAACAGTCTGGTCTTCAGAGCCAGTGGGCCCCAGAGTGGGCAATGCTCTGAGCGCCTTTTAGGGCCAAAGCCCGGAGGAAGGGGAGGCAGCAAATCATGTGCCAAGTCCGCTGACCTGGAGAGGTGCCCTGGCCCCATTCCTCCTCCAGCTTTGTGCTGTTGCCTTTGTTTCCTCCTGCTTGGGAGGAGCCCCACCACCACAGTAATGTTAGATGGCACTGAAAGGAATGCTTTGTCCAGCGCCTACTCTGCTTTACACCCATTCTCAGGCCTTACAACCCTCTGAGGTGGGTCTCTTTCCTGCTTCACCAATGAGGAGACTGCTCAAGGAGGTTCAGTAACTTATCTAGGAGCTGGTAAGTGTGGAACTGAGACAGGACACCCCCTCACGCCACACCTGACTCCAAAGTCAGGATGAGCTGTTTGCCCTCAGCACACGCGGGGCTCGGGCTCGGGGCTTGGCCCGCAGCTGCCCGGCCCGGAGC